ATATAATATAAAATCTTAATTCTATAGGGAAAAAATTAGCTCAAGTTTAAGAATGTCCTCAAGTATTATTGTAACATATAAAGTATTTCCTCCATGTGATTTTTACAATTCAATCAACTTTGTCATTTTTCAGATAGTTTTGAGCACTGAGGAAAATACTACTCTGAACACCCCAGGAAAGGAAAACAATTTTCACAGGGATGCCCCAACAGTAACTAAACCAGCTCTAGATCTATCAAAGCTACAGATGTGATAGGCAGGGAACAGATGTTATTAATAGGTTCTCTAGTATGTTTCTAAGAATCTAAATATCTGTGGCAGTTCTCAAGTTTTCCAAAGAAGAGCTATAGGCTAAATCACCTTTATTCAACACTTTTTCAAACAGAAACAGTTAAAAATACCTGGACCTTCAAGCAAGAACTCTGATTTTTACATGTATTTTTCATTCAAGAAACATCAAGCACTAGGCCAGAAACAGGCAACAACATCTAAGGCCTACAGGAAGAGGAGTAGCTCTGATAAGATCTAAAGAGAAGAACTTCCAGGGAAGCATCAACAAATATTCCAATCTAAGCAGAGAAATAGTATATGTAAAGGCTCCTAGCACTGACAGGGACAGGGTAAAGACATTTTCCACATCCTTTAACAAAATTGGAGGTTGGGGAAATAGCTCATCTGGTAAGAGTGCTTACTATACAAACATGAGGACTTGAGTTCACATCCCCAAAGCCCATATAAAAAGTTAAGCATGGTCAAGTATGTTTGTTATAGTGCTGTGCACAGGGTAGACAGGAGGATCCATGGGGCTTGCTGGCTGCCAGCCTACCTCCTGGTGTAATAAGAAACCCTGACACAAGGGAATAAAATGAGTAGGATACTAGGAATCCTCCTCAGCCTCTGTGCAAGCACAGACACATGTACCCGTGCCAATGCTCCTGTGCATACATCACACACACACACACACACACACACACACACAAGTAAATATATAACTAAAAGACTATTTTGAGGTTTAAACATTGAACCCAGTGTTTAAGAGCACTAGTTCTTGTAGAAAAGCTGGGTTTGGTTCCCAACAACCACATAAGATGGCTCACAACTATTTGTAACTCCAGCTCTAGGGAATGAGACACCCTCTTCTGGTATCTGTGTACAGACACACACACATAAGCCCTTACATAAGAACATAGTTTAAGGAGTTAGGATTTTGTTCAAGCTTAGCAATAAGCCTTAAAGTGGTAAAGGAATTCTGGTTTGATTTACATTTTGGAAAAATAAACCAATGTAATGGTTAACAGAAGGGCAGGATGTAATCAAAGGGAAGAACTGGAAGTACAGGGATCTCAGCAGACTGCCAGAGAGAGCTGAATTCTGGCATCCCTCTAGTGCAGGAGATGCCTGAGAGCCCCCATCCTGTCTTCACCTGGTGGTGAGCTTCCCCTAATTGTGCCATACCCATCCCCCTACCTGGGATTTCCTGAGATCCCTCTCCAGGCCCCAGGGCAGATCTGGCTTTGGTAGGCTAAGGCTGAGATTCTAGCAGACAGCCTGAGAAGGTCAGTTTCAACCTCCATTGGTGCTCAACAGACCCGCCAGAGAGTGTAGAGTTCTGGCCTCCCTCTGGCCTCCATGTGGCATAGGGGCTGAGACTGCAGGGGACTGCCTGAGAGTGCCCAGATCCTGCCTCCACGTGGTGAAGGAAGCCTGAGTGTACCTGACTTGGAATCTGAATTGGGCTTCTGTGGGTACTCCTGAATAGATATCTGAAGCCATTAGTTCCCTCCAAAGTAAACCGGAGAGAACCTGAACCCTGTACCAACCAGCTTTACGTAACCAATAAAGAAGGGATATAGGCACCCCGATAATACAGACAGAAGCATACCTCAACTTAATTCTCTTATCAGAATCATAACCAACAAAAGAAATTCACATGCCAAAATCACAACGAAAGAATAAAAAAATGGAAAGCCAAAACACTATGTCCCCACAAATCACACTAGTAATAGAGTCTGTGTTTCTAAGATACTCATGATACTTGAGCATATCTAAAAATTACAAATAGCTCACTGCTAAAGAGAAACCATGTTAGAACCTTGCCTCTAGTCCTCTAAGGCCACCCAGAGCAAGAACAAAGATAGAATTTATGTGATAAAAATCTTCAAGGAAATAATAGCTACATTTCAAGATTATGGGAGATTAGATGGCACATGCAGAGCAAGCACACAGCATAGTCATAAGCAAATCACATAGTGTGAGCCTTTCCTAAAAACTGTAAAAAATCTAAAATGCTGAAACTTTGTGTCTAACTCCTAAATTAATCCTCCTTAACTGAAGAGCTAGCACGAAGAATTAGCTTCACTGTAGCACAGAAACTGCCACTGTCTTTACTATTTAAACTTACTACGGGTCACAGTGACATGTAAAATTAGCAAGCTTCATAAAGACATCTGAAATATATTCCAGGTAGCCAAAATGCTCTGTTAACGTGTGGTCTCGTAAGTTAAATGAATGAGCATTCATCAATAATGCTTGTCATTGGCAGAAATGTCAGTGATGATGAAAGCATGGGCAGGTGCCTGCACCTGGGGGAAGAGAGCCTACCCTTGGGTAGGTAGGGTACCTGCCAGCAGAGAACTGAAATCAGAGTCAGTCAGCAAGGCTCTGTGCCACTCTCCAGGGTTCCAAACTACCCTGCTGGGTTTACGTCTGAGGCTGCCAAGTTTAGCCCAACAATCTGGTTCTGGCCTGTTCCACAACTTACTAATAATCAGGTTTAGCCAAAGTCTCAACTTTTTCAATTTGTCTTCTCTAGTTAGAAAGAATGAGAGTAAGACTGCCCAAGTTTGCTGAGATGTACAAAAAGGTCAACATTAGGAATGTGATATAAGCAATTCAACTGTTGACTGTGATTACAGAGAGGAGGAGGATGAAAGTCATGTTGTAAAAGGTTAAGGTGGTTTGTTGTTGTTTGTAACACAGTGCCTCACTATGTAGTCACACCAGCCTCGAACTTGCTATGTAGACCAGGATGGCCTGCCTCTGCTCCCAGTGGTGAGATTATATGGTAAGAGGGCACCACTATGTTCAGCTTGTTGTCAACAAGTTTAACAAACCTTTGAACCCTTTGTGGAATTCATCTGAAATCAAGTATTTCTGTTTATAAGTAAATACTTCTTAGTTTATAAGCAAACATGTTTTTTTAAATACCTGTAACAATACCTAGAGTGGCTGTTTTCAGTTAGAGGTGTTTGAGAAGTATGCACAAGAGATGGGAGTTGTAATTGTCTATGTCATATGACTAAGACTACTACTAGAATGTAACAGGCAGGGCCAAGGATGTAAAAAAGTTTCTATAGTATGTGAGCCATTCCCAAACACCAAGGACCTGTCTAACCAAAATGCCAAGGCTATCCTACTGACAATCACTGATGAATGCTGATGTAATGTCAATTTAACTCAAAGATCTATTCCTTTCCCTCTGGATATTTGTTTAAATGTTAGCAAGTCAAAACTAAGCTACATAGATGTATGTCTCTGGATTATAAGGAGCCATCAGAACCGTACACAGAATGAAGCACACTACATATTTTGTTTCAAAGGAACAAAAATAATGTTCTAGAAAGTAAATAAATATAACAGGAGTCAAATAAGTGTTAAGGGAGTCACGCAAGTGCTAAAAATTCCAAATGTTAGAAAATTAAAGAAGGATAGTATAAAACATGGACATAGAGGAAAGAACGCAAAAAAGCATTTTGTTTAAGAACAGCAAGCCAATTAGAGTGGCAGGCAGAAATGGACAGTAAACACTATAAAATACACAGAAAGAAGCGAGAGGAAAGCTGAGTGAGCACACAACAAACCCATGGCACTGAAAAAATGTAAGCAATAATGGAGTCACTTTGCTTATTTGGAAAAAGATTTCAGAATAGAAATAGCTAATTATTACAAATATATTTTAACTGATATTCTTACATACAGAAGAACTGTTTAAAACTGGAAATTCGGAGGTTGGAGAGATGGCTCAGTGGTTAAGAGCACTGGCTGCTCTTGCAGAGCAATCAGGCTCCAGCACCTACACGGCAGCTAACAACTGTCCCATAACTCCCATTCCAGGAGATCCGATGCCCTCTTCTGACCTTTCCAGGCATTTCATGACACAGGTGCACTTACATACGTGCAGGCAATAGACTCATAATCATAAAATAAAAATAATTTTTTTAAAACCCTAGAAATTCAAGGATCGCAAACATTAATTCAATGAAAGACAAAGAAAATAAAACAAATTAAAATGTTTTTTTAACAGCTTTTCAAGTCTGAAAGCACACAGGTACTGCTAGGACCTTAAAATTAATATATTAATACCAATATAACCATGAATTGTGCCATAAAGACCGTATGACTTGAAATGTAAAAGCAGAATCTCAGGAGGGGCAGCAAATGAACAATGAAGAACTACCCTTCAAAATGACATCAAGTTTACCGACTGTCACAGCTTCAACTGTCAACCTCACGCAATCCTAGAGTCGCCTGGGAAGAGGGAACCTCAGCTGAGGAAATCCCTCCATCGGACTGTTCTGACTGCAAATTGATGCAGAAGGGCTGGCCCAGCCCACTGTTGGCAGTACCATTCCTAGACAGTTGAGTCTAGGCTGTTTAAGAAAGGTAAACTGAGCCTGAAGCAAGCCACTAAGCAGTGTTCCTCTGTGGTCTCTCCTTCAAGCTCTTGCCTTGAGTTCCTGAGTTCCTGCCTTGGTTTCTCTGTATGGACAGACTAACCTATGAGATGAAATAAATCCTTAAACTCCAAGTTGCTTCTGTTCATGGTGTTTATCACAATAACAAATCATCAAACTAGGACACCATTATTATCAAAAAGCTTTGTAACTCATTTCTTTATAGAAATTACGCACATTAGCAGCTGCCTCCTAATAATCTCCAATATTAAGACCAGATCATCTGCAAAGAGCACAGACATACAGATGTATGTAGTGAAGAGGTAGTAGTGATGTACGTGTGTAGGTGCATGCCAGTGTGCCTGTACATGTGTCTGAAGGCCAAAGGTCAACATTAGCTACCTTCATCAACTGCTCCCAACCTTATTAGAGACAGGGCCTCTTGTTGAAGGTGGAGCTCACCTATCAACTAGTCTAGCCGGCCAGCAAGCACCAGGGAGCCTGTCTCCACCTCTCCAGTGTGTAGAGTACATATGTACACTGTGTCTTGCTTTTACATAGATGCTAGGGATTTGAACTCCGGTCCTTGTGCTTGTGCGGCATTCCCCCAGACTCATGTTTTGTTTTTTTTCTGTCTTAAATACATCAGGAAGAAAAATGACAGCTATTAAATGAATTCTTGAAAATTTCTGGTAGGTCTATAGTGGTTCTGAGAATATGATGAATTACATGTTTGGTTTTTTGTTTGTTTGTTTTGTTTTTTAACTGATTTCCTCAAAGGAAAGATCAAGAATATTATCCAGTAACAAAAGAAACTTTTTTTTTTCTTAATGAACAGCCATACTGTGGCTTCAGGATTACTTCTGAACAGGGTTCTGGTAATGAGAAAGAAGCTGGAGGTAATAGCTTAATTCCCTTCCTTTCCTTCCTACCCACCAAGTGTACTCAACAACAACAACAAAGAAAAAAAAAAAAAAACCTGCTACTAAAATGATCTTGTGTCTTCACAGCTTAATTCCAGATTACAAGACTCTTCTTAGATCTGCCTGAACAAGTGTCAAGCAGCTGGAAACAGCAAATTCACAGTAACATGTTAGGCAGGGGCATTTTAAAACAGTAAAACATGAACCATCCATAGAGCCAAAACACAGGACTTGCCAGCCAGCACTGGCTTGGAAGCGTACTGGGATTCACATTCCTCTCAGCCTTAGCATTCTTTGTTATTGTCCTTGCACAAGGAAAACGAACACCCGAACGAACCATGAAACAGCTCACATTAAAAGAGGCCTTTCTACTGCAACTGTCTTCACACACTCAGCTCTAACCAGGAAACTGATATCCAGGAAAAAGGTGTAAGGATAGACTGAAAAAATGGAGTTCCCCCATAGTATCAGCTGACGAATTTCAGTTTCACGAAAGTTCTCACCATGGGGCAGACAAGGCAGCTTATCTACACAGGTTGTTCATGTCCATAGTTTTAACAGTTTCGTGATGTCTACATTACTTCCTTTGTAACCAAAAGCTTAAATGCAGCTTGAAGGGATAACTATGCATTATGTTCTTTAAACAAAATAATTTAAGTAACAGAATTTTTGGCCCTGATCTCACTGGGGTTTTCACACCACAGGCATCTGCTTCCAATCTAAGTTGAAAAGAGTGTGGCCTTGGATAAAAATTTATCCAATTTTGAGTGCCTATATCCTCAATGTAAAAGGGACTAGCAAACAGCAACGATAAACCTGTACTGCCATAGGCTTCAGCGATGTGGTAAAGAAGTTTCCAAACACTCAATTTCCCTATGGCACCACCTACAGTATTTAACGCCTAATTCAGATGAGGTCCCTTGTCAACATTGGCTTCTTTCAAATGATCACTTCCCTACTGTTAAATTAATCTTAAACCATAATCTGCAAGTCCCTTCCCTTTTCCCAATTCAGTTTCGCATCTCCTCCCAGACAGGCAGTATCCATTCTATTGTTCCAAAGGGGCTATTTGTCCAGGGCCTTTGATTTAGGACATTAATATAATCAAAATTACAACGGTCAGGGCTTATCCAAAATCTTGTTTTACAACTTAGCCAAGTGTGTTTGTTTTTATTTTCACAATGACATCTCAAGGTCTTCAAAAGGGAGGCCAGTGCTCCGCAGAAGCTGCTCTGCCCGATCTGCAGACTTCACACCTGACCTGGTGTCATCGGATGGCTGTTCCTTTTCCAGGACAGGTGTACTTCAAAGGGCACAAGCTGTTCTTGCAAATTTTCTGCCCAGCCTCGCCCCCGCCCCTTCCCTTGGCCTCCCCCTTCTCTTAAAACATTTCCCGCTAAAGCCCAGGGTGAAGTAGCCCCGGAACCGCTACGACACTGCGCAGGACCGTCTGCGCATGCGCATGGCGCAGGCCTTGGCCCGCAGCTCTGAAGGGGCCGGGCCGTCCCCGCCCAAGCCCGCCGCTGGGAAGCGAGAGGCCAGCGGGGACGACGCGGCGTGCGGGGCGGCGGACACACTCACAATTTCAGCATCCACTCGCCCTCCATCACCAGCGTCCAGTTGGAGGCGGTCATGGGCTGCACCCGGCTCTCCTCGGCCGGCATCGCGGCCTGCTCGAGGTCGTCGGCTGCCGCCGCCGCCGCCGCCAGGCAAGCGACCAGGAGCGCGGTCGGCAGTGCTCCGCCCGCCATGCTGCGCGCGGCTGAGGCTGCGAGGACGGTCTGCGCAGTAGAGCTGGCACGGAGCGGAGCCACCGCCTCAGAGTGGCCGGAGCGGAGTCGTGGCCCCGCGGCAGTCGGAACACGAGTGGACCCGCTTCGTCAGGGCCGAGCAAAGCCCAGCCGCCGGGAGCACAGCCCGCGGACCTCCTCAGCCGCCGCGGAGCTCAGCCAAAGCGACAGGCGCCGCGCCGCCGCGCCACCCTTTATCTACCCCGCAGCCCAAGCCACGCCCCCGACCTACGGGGCCACGCCCCTGCCGCGCGGGCCTTTGGGGGCAGTTGTCAAGGTAACGGCGGCCCGTTCCTCTCGTCTCGCTGAAAATAAACAGATGACCCAGTGTTGTTTAAGTGACCCGGTGCAGCTTCGCCGCGCTGAGTTTCTGCAAAGAGAAGCGTGGCCGGCAGCTAAACAAAGCGTTTTCCTCTTCACGGAAACGAAACACTTCAAGGACTGAGGCGTGGCCTGGCCGATGGAAAGGGGGACCGTGGCGCGCCTGGAAACGGGACGAGCTCTCCGTGTGCCCGTGCTGAAGCCTCGCCATCCAGGGATACCCTGATAAAACTAGACTGCGAGCGTGCTTTTTTTTCAAAAGGAGTTTACATTTTATAGACACTTTAAAAATAAGGGTACTAACGAAAGGAATTTGCTAGTATTGCCAGTTGCAGTGAATGAACCTCATTTTTCAGCTACAATTCTGTCAGACCTAGAATCAATGTAACGTTAAATGCTTTCCATAGCTTTCCAGATACACGTTAGGCAAATATGTGCTATGGGTCCACCACACCCTGAAGATGTAAGACTGATTACAATTGGAGAGTGGGTGAACTTCTTTCTATGCCCATTATAAGCGTCAAGTGTTCAAAGTGTAACATTCAGTTGTATAATATAGCATGAGAAATGTGGTTTCTGCAAAGATGGCTATGCAACTCAAAGAAGTTTAGACTATGTAAGGTCAGTCTCAAGCCAGGAATATAGGAAAGATTCATTTTACATGCAGAGATCTTGTGTGAATGTGTATTGTGGTGTGCACATCAATCCTACAAAGTCAGCAGAAAGCAGTTTACTGTCCTTATAAAAAGATTCATAAAAGGACATCTATCATTTCAGTGTAGCTTTTTTGTACAGGGTATATGATTGATTTTCCACATTCTTATAATAATGTCTGATAAAAATTGCTATTGACTTTCCTGAGTGCAATAAAGATACCGTGTATTTTTAAACTGCTATAGGTAGTAAAATATTTATGGTGAAATAATGTGATGCACTGGGCATGGTGGTACCATGATAACCAGCTACGTAAGAGGCTGAGACAGGAAGATCACAAGTCCAAGGCTGCTGGGCAACTTGCATCTTGTCACCTAACAGGTAAAAGCAGTTGAGAATGCAGCCATGCCCTAGAGCATTTGCCTAGGGCACACAAGGTCCTCATTTGCCTAGGGCACACAAGGTCCTCGGTTCCATCCTCAGCAATACAAACATAGCACACTAGAGAGAGGGGTACGGGGAGAGAAGGAATGACTATGTCATCCTTGGAATTTGCTTTAGACTGCTCTGGAAATAAGATTGGGGAGTGGAAGATACACATGCTGCAAGGGTGGTAGAAGTTCAGTCCGTGTTGAAGCTAAATTCTTTTTTTTTTTCATTTTCTATGTTATTTATTTTTAATAAATCTTCTGGAAATGAGAAATTAAAGAGAGGCACAAAAGAAATTCATTGCTGAGGCATTTCTTATCACTGTGCTGGTGCAAGCCTTTAATAACAGTACTCCAGAGGCAGTGGCAGGTGGATCTCTGTGAGTTAGAGGTCAGAATGGTCTACGTAGTGAACTCCAGGCCAGCTGGGATTACAGTGAGTCCTTGTCTCCAAAAGACCCCCCCCCCAAAATCTCATTTCTTTAGTTTTAGAGAGAAGACGAGATGGGGGAATGGGGACAGTACAAAGCAACACAGCAAGGAAATGTGGGAGGGACTTGGCCTCCAGGAGGCACAGACCAAGATAAGGGTACAACTGCTGTTAGCCCACGAGGATATCTAGGCCCTGATGCTTCCCAGCCATGAGATTTGGGACTAAAACTAGAGCACACTGAGCTTTTTAAATGCAGCTAGTGATAAAAGCTGAAAAAAATGTGGTTGTGCAGATGATAGAAGTATAATTTATGTGGTATGACTCACAAAAGGTGATTATTATTTGTAGACGACAATGTCCTAAAGTCAAAACCACTTAGCATGCCACCTAATTGTCTTCATAATGCAGTTGTATTTTGCCCACCTTGTTTTCCATCATTCCCACAAGCCTCTTGTACTACTGTAATACAAAGCCATTGTCCAAGTCCCCAAGAACATTGTGTTCTCTGTCTCTCTGGCCTTTCATTCTTAGAATCGCTGTGCTGCTGCTATTACACAGCTCCCATTGTACCTCTGATAGTCCTGGCAGAATGAGCTGCTCCTCCCGGACCCAGTAGCTCTTCTTTTTAGCTCTACCACATCCCTGTCATGTGGAACACAATTACACTTCATTATCACCTTGCCCTCTCTTTTCTTTTCTCCCATCCCTACTGGGAACTATTCAAGATTACAGGCTTGTTGTATGCATTTTGTGTCTCCTACATTGCAACATCCACCTCTATAGCAAGCAGCATTTGGTGTAGGCAGCTTCTTGCATGACTCTGAAGGGCCCCCAACCCGTGATATTCTGGCTCTTGTGTTTTTCTCTCCTCTTGAGTGTGGACTTCTAACAAAATATGACAAAAGTGATGGACTAGATCCTCCACAGTAAGATGAACAAAAAATCTAGGACTTCCCATCCTTCTGGAACTCTCTGTTCCACTTGCTTATTCATTTTGACACTACATTGAGAATTCCAATTAAAAGCAACTGAGGGAGGCCTCAAATCAGTGTCCTGCGGGAAACTGAGGCCTCAGTCTAGCAGCTTGCTGGAAAGTCAACTTTCTGAGTAACCAAGATCTGGATCCTTCACTAGTTCTCATGAGATGACCAAGCCTGATGAGTGATTCAGAGCCAGATGGTAATGTTCAGCTGGATCCTTTATGCACAGAAACTTAGATAATCAATGTTTTAAGCTACCAAGGTTTGGGATACGTTGCACTACACAACATTTTAGAGTGTGCATATACAGTTTTAACAAGATTGATTTCTGATACTGAGGAAAAAAGGTTTTGTCCCCAGAATACTTTGCAATGGTGATCCTATGGGGACAACTATGGACACACACACACACACACACACACACACATACACACAAACACATACACACACAATATATATATTCCTAATATGAAAATAATTCCGTGATTTTTGATGAGAATAAAAAATATTACAGATACATCCCTTTTTTTGCTAATCCATAGAGGCAAATGCTTCTACAGACTTTGACATTAGGTAAAGCAGTGTGAATAGTTCAGGCTAAAGAGTTATAATCAGGAGTGTGCATGCATTGCTTTCACACTGAAGAATTCAATCACTCTTGTAAGATGCCCCAAAGTCCCCTATTCCTGATGCAGACATTTTAGAGAAAAATCAGGAGCTGAGAGTCTGAAAGAGCAGGGTAGTTTGAATTGCTGAGCGGTCTTCTAGAGAGAGGCTGCCCACATGGCTCTATAGAGTCTCAATGACCTTCACATAGATGAGATCTTTCATAATTACAGCCTATGCATTTTAGTTATTGCTTCCTAATCAACTACCACAGAACTCATTTCTCATTCTGGAGGCTTGTAAACCAAATTGAGCTTTTAGATTTTGGGAGTTTTTTTGTTTATTTTAACTTGTGTTCCTTCATATGGTGGCTGAGGCTACATTTAGCTGAAATTATCCTCGTGCACTACTATCTAGCACCTGATGGTGCTAGACACATAGGTCACAATGATCAGGACACATAGGAACTAATTTGCATTCTTTTGCTCCACAGATTCTCTATGTGGCCAACTTGGGTTTCCTTACAACATGGCACTTTCCAGGTTCTAGTTACTTTTTCTATATCAGTAATTCCCAAAGACATGGGCAGATGATGCACTGCTCCTTAAAACCTAGACTCAGAAGTCTGAGAATATCACTTCTACTACGTTCTAGTGATGAAAAAAGGCCAACCCAGACTAATAGGGAAAGGAATCAACAAGGACCCTTAACAAGAAGCATCAAAATTAATTGTGCCCCTCTTCAGTCTATCACCAAAAGGACACCAAAGGACCAGTAAGATGGCAGAGCAGGTAAGGCACTTGCCAAGAAGCCTGATGACTTGAGTTTAATCCCCAGGAGCCACAGGGTGGAAGGAGAAACCTGATGCCCACAAGTTGTCCTCTGACCTCTACACATGTACCATAGCACATGTATTCTCTCTCTCCTCTCTCTCAAAAACAATTTTTAACTGAAAATATGGAATTGCTTGTCACTGACACAATCTGGCTTATTCTGATGAGCCCACTGTCTCCATTTGATGACTCCTGTGGGAGTTTTGGCATTTTGTGTATATGACAGGTGATAATTCCACAGATCAGAATTGGAAATTGCCTCTTCCCTTTGGCCCGTTGTGAGTAGGCCCTGCCAGACGCTTGTTTGGACAAAAGGAATTGGAGTGGATGGTCTTCAAGTCCTTGGGCAGCTGCAGGATTTGACATTATGGTATTTAAACACTCATGGTTGCTTAAACTTGTTTACAAAAGATTTACCAACACGGTAATACTTATGTGAAGAAATCTATAAAGAGCAGATAACTATCTTTTGATTTCTGAGCCTTTGTTTCCATTGAGTGACAGATTTAAGAAAGCAATTCTCAAGAGAGATAAACACTTATATTCAGTTGGTAGAAACTTTGAATACAGTTAGCAGCCAACAATTTTGATATAATTGGTAACTTGAGACTTGATATTAAGAGGTAAATCAATGAGAGATGAAGAGTTTGCTATTAGATCACAAAACTCTATGATAGGAGGACAGAACTAAGACTATACAGTGGTTTTCCTGTTGGGGATGATGAAAGTATTATATAAATATTGAGTAAGTTAAGCAATGCTATAAAATTAGTCTATAAAGTAATAATAGTACAGGAACTTAATTACACAAACAGATTTGCCAAAATGCCTTACAGGAACAGAGAAAGAA